GTCCGGGATCTTGTGCAAGGTCCTGGACCTTCTGAAGGAGCACAACCTCACTGCCAGTGGACCGAAGTCGAGGCACTGCATGAGCGGGGCCACTATCTTAGGATTTGTGTGCGACRAGATGGGTCGTCGGCCAGATACTAAGAAGACTAATAAGATTCTCAAATGGCCAACACCGTTCGAGACTATCACGGAGGTAAGGATTTTYCTGGGAACGTGTGGGTTTTGGAGGATCTTTATAAAGGGGTTTGCGGCGAAGACTGATCATTTGCGAAARCTTGTGTGTTAGGRTCAAGATTGGGAGTGTGGAGACAAGCAAGAGCCGGTGATAGAAGATCTGAAGAAGGAGTTTAAGGAAGGAGGTCTAGTACTAGGGGTACCAGATCATGCGGCGCTGATGACCAGACCATTCATCGTAGAAACGGACGCAGGGCCGACTGTCGTAGGAGGTGTGTTGATTCAACGAGATCCCGATGGAGAAGAACGACCACTAAGATTTAAGAGTCGGACGCTTAATACAGCTGAGAGGAACTACTCTCAGCTACTCTAGCTGGTTCTCTCAAAAACTCCTCTCCTTCAGATCCGACCATCGCCAGGTGGCTAACGTACATCTGGATGTTCGACTTSGAGTTTGAGCGAATTCCGGGAACAAGAATAGAGAAGATGGGCTGAGTTGGGTCGACTGGGACAAGAATAATCAAGGAGTAATCATGGATACTCCACCAGTTGACGGGTTCTTGGATAGTGAGGAGGATGTGAGGCTTCACATCAACTCCTGGTCATTGGCCGTGGGTAACTATGTTACTCCTTGGCGACCTGTGTGGCTTGCGCCTCCAGGGCAGGTACGACGACCAGACCCAGTCCTCAAACCCTATGTAGAGGAAGACTCTTGGGGAATGCCAGTTGTAGATTGGATGGTGGATCTGGCTTTAGCTGGCAAGTACGAATTACATGAGGACCTGCTCACGATTGAGGATGGGGAGCTTCCTCCTGTACGTGAGACGACACATCAGACCCTTTGTCAGGTCTATTGTGGCACCTGCTACGAATTGGGGACACTGCAAGAAGCTGCTCTGGGACCACTATACCCTAACGCGTCAGGAAGGTGAAAGGAGGAGTCTGGAAAAGAGAAGGAGGGAACCAGAGGCAGAGGAGAGGAGGACCTTTGAGCGAGGCATGTCATCAGGGACTCTGAGGGAGGACAGGAGGAAGGAGCACAGATCCCATAGGCATGAGAGCGCAGGAGGGTCAGGTGGTCCAGGGGTGCCTCCACAGCCTGCTCAGAGGGGGGTGGATTGTCCTATGCCAAACATAGAACCAGACGTGCCTCATGAGGCACATGTGCAGGAGTAAAGGGAGGAGCAGTCTGTCAAGGAGAAGGAATAGGACATGAAAGAGAGAGCGGCAAGGGATCGGGAGATCAAGGTTCAGCTCAGGATGAAGAACCTTGCAGAGCTGCACGRAAGGATGCAGCAGGGGAAAGAGCTAGAGGAGRTGGATGACAAAAGTGGTAAGGGCACTTGCGCTCAGGAGGAGGACCTTCCCCTATTTTCAGAGGTCTGGGTCAGCTTTGACAAGCTGATGGACGTTGAAGGGAGGTCTGGAGGTCATCACCAGGAGATGGGGGTCAAGTTAGTCTCCACAGACCTACTCAACCTGAGGGGCGTGATGAAGGAAGGTTTTGCAGCAGCCAAAGCGTCGGATCAGAAGGTTGGGGAAAGGCTGACAAAAGTGGCACAGGAAGCGTATGGCCAGAGGGTAAAATGGRAAAGAGAAATTGAAGACCTGAAGAWGGATTTGGAAAGGCAGAACAAAGAGGTGGAGGCAGTGAAGGGGGATATGGTGAAAATTTGGGCGGAAAACGAGGCCGTCAGGCAGGTCRACCAGACCCTTAATAAGGCCAATGACGTCCTGAGGGTGTATTTGCAGGCACAACAGGTCTCCTTCCAAGCAAAGGAAGCTGAATGAGAGAAGAGGATACAGGACCTCAAAACCAAGTATGCACGGCATGCTCCAACGACAGTAGTGGATTCGACAGGTCCAAGGATTTGAGATGAAGGAACAACCTGCAGAGGAGGCCTTCAAATGTCAGAAGGAAGAAGAGAAGGCGGATCAGCAGGAGGGTGAGCAGATTCCCCTGATAGACAAAGAGATGTTGGAGCTGCAAAGGGCACTAGCTGAGAAAGACTCAGAGGTCGGAGGGTTTGAGTGGAGGATGCCGGCTGGCCTGACACTTGGACAGGAGCCAGCGATGCCAAGAGGGAGGCCACCAGGTGAGGCCATAGGAGTTGAAGTAGTTCCACCTACAGCTCAGGGAGAGACCATAGGACAGCATGAGGGTCAGGAGAGCGTAGGTCAGACTATGGTTGAGGCTGAGTCAAGGAGGGAGTTGAAGGGACGTCAGGAATCGGCTATGCCCCAGGATATGCCTCTAGTTGCAGGTCTGCAAGACGCGTCTTGGGCCACTCGTTCGGAGCCAGAAGGACGTGTCGGCGAGCAGGTGATACCTACAGACGAGAGAGCAGTCTGCCCCACCTCCCCAGAGGTCCCACAACAGGAGGTCACAAGTAAGATCTCAACAGTCCCGTCATCAGTACCTCCGCAGGAAGGAGACACAAGATGTCCCAGAAGAAGATTAGCAAATGCTTCTCCTGCAAGAAGGGCAAACATCGATCTGACGACTGCCCCAAGAGCGTCAGGGACGAGGCAAATGGTTTGGCCATCAGAGATTCATCAGGAGTATGGAAAGATAAAAATGAGATCCTGGTTCCTAAGACTCGTGATGGGGTGAGGGCGCAGTTGTATAGGCAGCTGTAGGAAGTAATAAGTGATAAGGAGTAGGATTCTTTAATAAGGTCCGGAAAAGTTTGAGTCTAGTATACTCGAGACAACTCTGACTCTCTGACTGATGGTTACTTGTATATAGAAGGATACATGGAGGATTGGATCAGACCCATGTACATCAGCGAGTTGAGCCAGTAGTGAGATGTTATTTCCGCATKGTGGACTTATAGACTTTATTTTACCTGAGATAACACTGTGTATGATTCTAACTTTTTTCTCCTTTTCGCTAGTGTGGTATGGAGCATTCTCATAATACCTTTGTGTAAAGTTATGGTTTCTTTTTCGTCTAGAGTAGAGTGATACTCATGCGTATGGAGTGACTGTCGATTTCTGATACGTTGACACTTGTGATTCCTTGTTGGATACTTGAACTCTTKGTGCGRTACTTTGATTTTTCGATAAGGACAGTAGCCTTTGCTTGTTGCAGGGCCCCATATCCTGTGTACATATGTGAGTCTCGAAACTTGTATTTCTTGTGTGTATGGTGTGTCACACTCACTCTCAGTTTGTGGACTTGCCCATATGGATGATGGTGTGATGAAGTGTATATTGTGAAATGAACCGATCTGCACATTCTTCCTTTGTACTTATGCATCCCTGTCCTAAGAACGAGGGAATACTAAAGTACAAAGGGAGAGCGTGCCCCTCAGGGTTCTGAGACAGAGATGGCATAATGTGTTTTGCACAGAAGGAGTGATGATGAATGGAAAGGTCACAACCAAGGTTGTGCCTTCTGTGTGACTTATAAAGAGAGAGGAAAGCCTAATGGCCGATTAGGCCTTCCTAAAATGATGAAAATTGTGAGAGCACTCAAAAAAGTTGCTATAATGATGATAAATTTTTGTGTGTATGTAAGTCTGACGAGAAAAGACCAAATATTTTATGAGAATAATTGATGGACATTCCTGGCAATTATGATGGAACTCTGGAAAGTTTCTTTTTATAGATATCCCTAAAGACGTGTGACCTTACCTACTCTTGATCGAAGTAAGGGAGACACAACCTTGTGGAATTACTGAGGAATTGCTTGGAAYGGTTGAGAAAGGCATTATCCCTCCACGTAGTCCCGTTGGCAATTGGTATGTGATCCCTCGTTCATTTTGAAGGGGTTTGAAAGAAAGTGTCAGACCACAATGGAATCAGTCCCAGGGGCATATTTTGTGAGGTCAARCTCAGGGGCTATACTTAGCATCGCTGGAACTGTAGAACCTAACTCCAAGCGAGGGCCGCTGACCGGCACAACCTGGCAGCGGGACCATGGCTTACCAAAGGTTAAGTCTTGAAGGGTCGGCCGCCCGGAGAGGTTTAGTTAGAGGGAGAGTCATTGGGGCCGATTAAGTCAAGAGTCGGAACCCTTCAGGGTACCAAGATAGAGAAAATTGCTTATCGTTGCGTAACCAACGAGGGCAACATCGCTACATAACAACACGATGGGCCGTGGATTCGGCGTGATCGACCGTTCCATGGTGGGCCAAAATGGAGACCTGAAGCCAAATGTGTTAGACTCCAAGATGGGCGTTCATATGATTGGATAATTCAGATGGCAAGCATTACCATTTGGGGATTAAAGGTGCCCCGTATTTTGAGAGGTCTCGGTTAGGGCCCGCGTCCTAAGTTATGACCCCGTACGCGGGACGATAACTGAACAGGACACCCAACGGTGAACCGGCAGATGTCTACGGCAAAGGGAGAGGGCTATCAACCTGCTACCTGGGAGCGGGTATTACGCTGTAGTACGGAACAAAGTATCCCCTAACTCCAAGACCAGGACGTGGGAGACCCAGGTTGAAATCCTGGCAGTGGAACGCCGTGACGGGAGCAGGTTGCTAAAAATACCTCAAACGGAATCGAGCCGGTGAGTCGGAATGGTTACTTCCTCGACAACAAATATGGTTGTATTTACAGTTTTKATCGTCCGACGAGACGKGGACGTCGCTTAATAAGGTCCGGAAAACTGTCGCCCCGAATGCCCTTACAAGGGTATTTGGGCACATTCTTGCAGCTTACAGGGAGTACGCTTTTGGCGATATCTAGGGGCGCGTCCCATGTTTGTTGATTAAAGAGTATGCTAGCGCGCACTTTGTGGGCAAACGTTAACTTGACCGGGCAATTGATCAATGGAAGAATGTGAGACGCTGGTAGAATAAGTAAGTGTTAGGCTAGAGTTTTGGATAAGSCCACGACCTCGCACGCACGGACGAAGTTATGGGTAACGCAGCRCTGACTAGTTGAGGCTGCGACTAGAGGAGGATTTTTTCTGACTTACTGGGAAACGACATTTTGGGGGCTGCATAGTAAGCAGTGCGGGAGTACTRAGGGGTTGTGCACTTCGGYTGTAGAYGCCACCTGGCGGAAGTTAGCTAGGTTGGCGCAAGGTGGGTGCGATATAAG